GTTGCCCAGGTTTTGCACTGTTATTACATTGATGTGAATAAATATTGGTTGTTTTGAGGAAGTGCACTGTTATGTAACGTATGTTATAGATGTGAATAAATATTGCATTGTCCAGATTTTTATATATTTATTTTTTGTATGCTGAAAATTTTAAAATTTTCAACCACCAAACCGATTCATATCCATCTGCCAATCCGCATCCGCTGGATTGGCGGACGGATGCGGATTGATTTTCTCCAATCTGCCGATTTGGCGGACGAATGACGGATTAGAGGTTTCGTGGCCACAATCGACCCGCGCCTACCCCAAATTTGAACCAAAAAAATATCTCAGTACGCCCAATATAAAATTTAAAATTTTAATTCTTATTGTGATAACCCTGTTCCGTGTTATGTTAATTAATCTTAATTATGATTGTGATTATGTGCTTAATATGATTTTGAATGCCATTTATATGACTATATGTGTGTTTGAATTTCTATTTGTTCATCGTAGGAAAAATCTATTCGATTCTTTGCTATAAAAATTTAATTGAAGGTCGTAGAGGTGTCAGAAAGAAGAATTGACTGTGTTTTTACGATTAGCATGATTTTTAGAACCTACGGTGAAATTTAATTGAAAACTAATTCAGAGCTAATTAATTAGCATAATTGAATTAATCAAGCACCATTGATTAGTTCTAATTAAGTGTGATTAAGGAAAACCTATATAAATGAGCTAAGTATGCTTAAGCTCATATTTTTGAGCTCAAATCAGATTCTACACTCTAGAGAGAGAGAGAGGGTGAACCAAATTTAGAGAGAGAAAGGAGCCATTCTTGAAGATTTTGCAAGAGAACTCAAGTTTTGGAAGGCTAGGCTCTAAAACTAACTAAAATTGTGTAGATTGAAGCTCCTAGGTAAGTAATTGAGCATAAATTCATGAGTTTGAGTTTGTAATTTTGTGAATTCAAAGTTAAATGGTAATCAAGAACAAGAATTAAGTTGAATTTGTGTATTTGAGCATGAAACATATGATCCATGTTGAATTTTGATTAAGATTCACGTTTTTGACCATCTTTTGCATCACTTAAGTTGAGAATGGAAGTTATATTCCATATGAAAACACAATTCATGGAGGTATAAATTTTGGTTGCATGAATTTGAAGTATTGGAAATAAGTTTGGTATAATTTGAGTATGCATGTAATTACTTCATGGGAGTTGAGCTTCATAATGTTGTAAATTTAGTATTTGTATCATGTTAGAAGATGTACAAGTGAATTATGAGTCATAACAAGCAAGTTACATCAATTGGAATGCAAATTTGAAGTTCCAACAGAGTTCTGGAAAACCTAGAATTCGACTTGTCCGCTCGAGCTAGGAAAACCTCGCTTAAGGGTGAATTTGTAGCTCCCAGAAGTTTTGCAGAGATTGCATGGTGGCTCGAGCAGTCGAATTTGTGCTCGAGTGTATCCTGCTTTGCATGACTCCTCGCTCGAGCATCAATAGTCTTGTTCGAGCGTAAATTACAAGCAAACAGAACTTTTGTAGACCAAAGGGGTCCGCTCGAGCAGAGAGCCCTATTTAAGAAATTTTGACAAGGCGTTTTATGTTTTGTTTTCTGTCCTCTTCCAAACACTCTTAGGCATGCTTTGAGCATTGTAAAGGACCTAAAAAGATAAGAAAGAGGCCTAAGAGAAATAGATAAATTAATAACAGATTGAATCGCTTGTAACCTGATATGTTATGAAATGTGTAGGGTCAAGTGCAAGGGCAAATCCACCAGCAGAACACTGTAAGTAATATCTTAATAAGAATGTATTGAAGTATGCTACTTCCAAATACTTACTTATGTATGAGTTCTACAGAGTTATTAAATTGAATTGGATATCCGTTTGATAGAAATGATTGGGCTAAATGCCATTTGATAGAAATAATTGGGCTAAAGACCGTTTGACATGAATGATTGGGCCAAAGGCTGTGTGATATGAATGATTAGGCCAAAAGCCGTTCGATAGAAATGATTAGGCCAAAGGCCGTTTGACATGAATGATTGGGCCAAAAACCATTTGACACGAACAAATTGGGCCTAAGGCCGCTTGAGAAGAATAAATTGGGCCCAAAGCCATTTGATACATTTGGGCCTAGGGCCATTTGATGTATTAGATAGAAACATGAATGGCCTAAGGCCATTTGATATGTTTGTTAACAAGTTTTCATTCATGTAACTTCCTTACTGATATTATTCACTGGGCTTTCGCTCATTCTCATTCATGTGTATATAGGTGAGCAAAGAGACGTCCAAACACAACCTCGATGAAGACTATGAGAGGAAGTCAAGTTTTTGAGGAGTCAACCCGAATGTCTCACGCACGAGACTTTGTTTTTGTTCCTTTTGTTCTTTTGTTACTCTTTTGCTATTTTGGTGAACACGTTGGATCACCTATGCATATGAGTTTTTGTTTGGCTGACTGCATATCTGAAAGTTCTTGGATGTATATAAGATGTTAAATCTATTCATATGTGTGAGTTATTATGAAATACCTTTGGAATGATTTTGCTATACTATGTAAGCACAGCTCATTGGACAGAGTTTTTAAATCTGCTTCCATTTTGGCCCTTTTAATATTTTTAAAATTGTTTAAGGTCGTAGATAATCTCATAATTATTAGCCGATTATGACCTTAATCCTTAGGGGCGGGATCGGGTCATGACACCTATATACCTTAATGTGAATTTACTAATAAGGATAACACATATTAAACTCTAATTGTTTTTCCTCATGGTACTTCCTAATCAATTATACGTATTTTTTCTATTCAAATCTCTACACATTTTTCCCCGAAAGATCAAAGTTATTTTTTCTTCTTCTTCTTTCTCCTTACTCCAAAACTCTAATCCACCTCATCAAAACTTACCATTATCATAAACATCATTGTTTTTTATTATTTTGAAACCCTAAATCCTTAAAGAAAGTTTGAACAAAATCAAACAATGAATGAGAGAAATAATTAAAATAATTTTTTAAAACAACCCATTAAAGAGGATGCAAGTATTCATATAAAAATCAAAATACAATTATTGATTTTTGTATTTTTTTTTTGTTACATGTCCCACTAACCACGTTAGACTCCATTAGAGCTACATGTGAATATCCTTCATAAAATAAACACATGTATCTATACAATATATATAAAGCACCAATGTATAATGAACAGTATTTTCTGCCTTGAATGAACAGTAACCTCTCAGGTGTTGAAATATCTGTTTTGCCCCTTGGTCTTTATCTTTTCTCTCCTTATTCTAAAGCTTAAAAATAGAACCAACAAAACACAAATAGAGGAGAGAGAGAGAGAAGAAATCGAAGGAGACGGAGGAAGACCCATCCGTGACTACCGACACGGTTGACATCCGCCTGCTTCAGCTAAGCAACGAATGAGCTCTTGCACTTCTCCCTCCTGCGAGAGTTCTCACACTCCCCTCTCCCATCGTTCAGGTTCGTTTTTCAGAAGTTAGGGTTTTCATACATAAAAAATATCTGATTTTTGTTTTTAATCTTTTTTTCTTTCCTGTTCATCGTTTTTCTCTTCTTGTGAAAATAGTTTTTTTGGAATAGTTTTTGTGAGTTGCAAGAAACAGATTGAACTAGATTGAATGTCATTTTTCCTCCTTTTTTTTGTTGAAGTTAGGGTTGTCTGCTTGTGAAATGTCTTTCTTTTTTTTTTCTTTTTTCTTTTTTTTGTTAACAATTGTGAAGTCTCCTAACAGTATATATAATACAATCTGATATTGGGGTCAGATTGTGGTATGGTTAGAATAGAAAAGCAGGGTTATGATGTTAGGATGGGTGTATAATTTGAATGGTAACACTAAAGACAACCTAAAGACAACACCAAGTAGATATAAAATAAAAAGAAGGGGAAAATAGTGAGACTGAAACATCATTGACAGCAACAAGAAGAGAACAAAGGCATAATATAACTTCAAAATATCAACAATATTTATTACCTGGTCATGCAGAGAACGAAACTTGGATTGCCAGGAGATGACTTTCTAAATTTGCTATTAGGAGGGTAAACATCAAATAACTTGTTCAATCCTTATATTATTGATTATCACTTCGATCTCCAGTGTGCCTTTATCATTACAATGAGGATAAGAGTGGAAAATTCAAAGAACATCATTATATCACTTACAGATTCTCTTCAATTGAGCAATAGATCTTGCTGCTGCGGACTATTCCTATTATTGTCCACATGCTACCCTTCTTCCCAATAACCTCAGCCATTCCCATCTCATCATCCCAATGGGCGCTAGAAATATTTTTCCTAATGAAAAAATACACATTTAATTGTTAAAACACAATGATCTAAAGAATTTATAAACAGTTTTTTATCAAAATTTCTACCTAAACTGCAACTTGGGTATATCACCGGATGTAAAGTAATTTTCTTCATCATTCATGTCTGGCACACAGATCTCAATTTTACTCATTCCACCTGAAGAACTTGCCCATCCCTCAACCTCCACCCCACTGATATTTGTCAAATAACTTATCAATAATAAATGCAAGATTAAAATCCCATAAAGCCTTTGGTTCTCAAGGACAGAGAATCATAGTATAAGATTTCCTTCAATATAGTGAAGATACTGAATTGTAACATTGAATAGCTCACCTTGGCAACCTCTAATTGCTGAATTAGACTCAGTAAAGTGAACCTTTTAGTTCATACAGGCCACAATAACGAAAAACTTCCTACTGAAACTCACAAAAAAATTTTTTTTTTGAACATTTTCACAACATTTCATACAAACCAGACAACCAAAAACATAGAAAAAAACTATGAAAATGATAATTGCACAAAGTCCCAAACATCTAAGTTGTTGACAAATACTAATTTGATAGGCCTTCTTTGGACAAAGTCCCAATCACCTTAAAAAGTGAGTCAAGTCTAAGAAATTTTATTTTATTTTATTTTATTTATTTATTTTTTCAGTACACTAAAAAAATTCATTTTGAAAACAATTCTACAAATTATTATCTTTTTAATCCAAGATTAATCTTTTCTTTTCAGTCCCAAACATAGGAATGAATTGTTTATCTTTTCTTTTTTCTTTTTTCTTTTGCACTGTGAAAGAAAAATTCTTTGATAAACTTATTGACTTGGAAGTGCTTTCAGATTCAATCAAGGAAATTGATTTTTCTTCTACAGAGGGTTTTTTGATGGATTTCTGAGTTTTGATACGGTAAATTTTGCGATTTTGTTATTTTTTTTCTTCCTTATTTGTTCTTTGTGTTGTTAAATGTTTGATTTCATTATGATTTTGTTGTGTGTTTTGGAGCTAATCCACAGTTTCGAACCATATCTTCAGATTCAATCAAAGAAATTGATTTTTCTTCTACAGAGGGTCTTTGGAAGATGGATTTCTGAGTTCTGATACGGTAAGTTTCGTTGTTTGTTTGTTTGTTTTTTTTTTTATAATTATATTCTTATTTGAAAATCAAAGTGTACAAAATAAAGTAAGTGCTGCAATGTTTTTGGGTAACTTCTGATTTTTCAATCATTCTTCTTGTTATCGATTCCATTTTCTTTGGTTTCTATGATTACCATGATGTGTGGGTATTTTTATTTTGGGCATTCATCCAGGTGTGACTCCTAAATTTTTGAGGTTTGTGTAGATCAATAACTTAATTTGTGTGATTCAGAAAATTTTTAGGGTTTATTATTTAGCTTTGTAATTTTTGTCTATAATATATATATTTTTATTTTTTAGTTAATTTTTATGGATTTTATATGTTGTTAAACTTTTAGGGTTTGTGCAAATAAAGAATTAAAAACTCAATTTGTGTGATTCAAAACTTTTTTGGTGTTTTCCTATTTAGCTTTGAAATGAATTTTGAAGATGTGTTTAATGCCAACGATTGAACTTCAAAACCCAATTCTAGCTCTGACGGACTAAACATATAATCAATATTGTGATGGAATTTAGTTCTTTAGTTTGAATACTGGAGATTTTGTTCTGTTAAAGATAATATCCATTAGATGTTTGAATTTTGTGCAAATAAAGAATTAAAAACTCAATTTGTGTGATTCAAAACTTTTTTGGTGTTTTCCTATTTGGCTTTGAAATGAATTTTGAAGATGTGTTTAATGCCAACGATCCAATTCTAGCTCTGACAGACTAAACATATAATCAATATTGTGATGGAATTTAGTTCTTTAGGTTGAATACTGGAGATTTTGTTCTGTTAAAGATAATATCCATTAGATGTTTCAATTTTGTGCTTAAATTATTTGATAAAATAATTGGAAGACAAATTGCCAGATAATCACTGATGTGGTCAAAAAGTAGTAGGTTAACATAGTTCCCTTTACCAACAAGTATGTTCTTGCTAATTCTCTTATTGGAAAAGTTTTGTATTTTGTCCTATCTTCGATTTTTGAGGAATTGAATAGATGATTGATTTGTTGGTGCAATTCTATTTTTGTTACTTGCTTTATGTGTTAGTTGTGCTTTGTCTTTGTCTTCATCTTCTTTCTTTGATCATGAACGGAGGTATTGTGAGAGTTTGCCTAACAAAGTTAGGGTTTCTTCGTACTTTCCATGTACTAAAAATTATGCTTTTTGTTTGTTTGTTTGTTTGTTTGTTTGTTTTGTTTTGGGTGCATAAAATAGGGGTTTTCATTTTTTTTTTTGGTTTACTTGCTTTAGAATTGTGGGGTTGTTGCGCTTTGTCTTCGTCTTCCTGCTTTGATCATGAACTTCTATGAGAGTTTGCCTAACAAAATTAAGGTTTTTATCTTCTTTCAGCTACTGTACATTATCTTATTTATTTATTTATTTGCATTAAAAGGGGGTCTGATTTTTAATTTTTCTTTGTTAACAATTTTTTTTGTTTACTTGCTTCTTTTTCTATTTCTATTTTGAAGGGTTGTGTGGTGGTTGTGCTTTGTCTTCGTTTTCGTCTTCCTTGTTTGATCATAAATGGGAATTTTATGAGAGGTCGACTAACAAAGTTAGGGTTTTTGCCTTTTTTCTAGATCCTATATATATTTTTTTTGTTGTTACGTAAGGGGATTTTGATTTTTTTTTTCTGCCTATTTTTCATTTTTGTTTCTCACGATTTTTTTGTGGAACTTGCTTCTATTTTTGTTTCTATTTAGAAGGGTTTTTGGGTGGTTTTGCTTTGGCTTTGTATTCCTTATGTTCATTAGCTAACAAATTGTGTCACTATATTTCTTTACATGTTCTATAAACGTCAACAATTTCTTAAGATCACTTTTAAACGTCGATTTGAACTATTAAAGGTCCAATCTTTTCTCTTCATTGCTTTTTTTTCTTTTTGGGGGGGGGGATGGGGTGTTTGGAAATGACTTTTGTTTGAGTTTCATTCATAAAAGAGAAGTATACCACGTTAGTATGAATCATGTTTTAATTTGATTGGGGGTCAGTGCCTTGGGCCACTATGGAGGGTTAAATAGAAATGTGAAGAAAACTACACATAGCCATTGGAGTCTTGGCCAATGGTTTGCTTCATATTTAGTGGTTTAATATTTCTTTGTGATGTGAGTTTGTAATATGTTTTATAATTTCCTTTGTTACCTTTAGTAGATTTTGTTACTTCATATTTTTTTCATTTGTGTATCATTTAATAAACAAATTCTAGGTGTATAACAGCAATCATCTAGACATGAATATGCATTTCTTCTTTCTCTGGTTATGTGTGCACAAATATGGGATTTGAGAGAGTTGTTGTAGGCTAAGATTACACTTTCTCGGTTTCTATTACAGGGAAATAATGGATTTTGTGACAACAATATAGTTTACCAAATACATAGGATTAACAAGATCAAGGTGAGTACCTTCTAACTTTTAGCTATCATAATTTCTAAAATCACAAATTAATGGTAATTGTTACTTGATAATTTGCACACATAATATTTCAGATAATTGTTATAATGATCTCAAGCATTAAATGTTCATTATTTCAACTTAGACAAAACAAAAACTGCATTGAATAAATTATACAACAAAAAGTGTACCCTTTATGAAGTAGGCTACTTTTAAGTTAGAAAACAATTTGTTAATTTTAACAAACAAATGTTTGCATTTCGAATGATCAAGTCTAAAACATTTGGTATAATTTCACAATTGCACTTTTGTTTTCATTTTTCTTATATATCCAGTGCATTTCTAAATGTTTAAAATACATGTTTTGTTTTGTGTCTACATGTTGGGAGGTGGGACAGAGAAATCTGATGTTTGGAAAAAGTTATTTCACAATTGATTATTTTATTTTTTCTTCTACCAAATATCTTTAATTAATATGCAAACTCAGTAATACCGATTAAATTTTCATACTTAATGTTGACTGCCCATTTATTTTTTTTGTTCTTTGTTTTTAAATACATTTTAAAAAGCACTTGAATGTGTATTTCATACCTGGGACTGTTGATGGGCTGTTACACTGGTAGACTGGTTTTGATCACAAAAAACTTGAATGAATGTGCTCAAAACATAGGGAATGAATGTGTATTTCAAAGTGTACAACCAGACTTTAAGTTAAGAGAACTGGGTGATTGCATGAAAGGCCTGGCAACAGTTTAACTGCTGCTACTTGCTGTTTAAGCTTGGTTGTTATGTGTTGCATTCATTGCTGGTTTGAGTTGAATCCTTATCAACTCTGTTTGTATTTGTTTGTTTGCTACTAGGAGTGCACATGATTGGTCCATGCCAACATAGTTGGGATGAGGTGTTTTGGACAATGATGCAATTTTTTTTCCTCCTACATTATTGTAATATATTCTCCTTTTCTTTTGTCGCTCAAAAACAAATCTATGGAATAACCTTGGTTATGTTATTGTTAATCTTTTCAGCAACTATTATGAATTGTTTTTTTTCCCTCTTGCGAATGTTTAAGTTTATTATAAACTTTTTCTTTTCTTTTTCATGGTTGAGCAAGTAAGCGAATCGAAACTACATGCCAAGCTAAGAAGGCTGTCGTCTGAAATGTAATTAGTTCACCGTGAGGATCACCTTTCCAATTCTACAAGTGTGAAAAATCACCTTGGTTATTTTGTCACATTTCTTTTTTCTTTTCTGAGTCAATTCACCATGAGGATCACCCTTTCAGAGTCTACAAGTCAAAAATGGCCTTGGTTATTTTGTTACACTTATTTTTGAGTATTACCGGCTATGTTTATCTCTTGTGATATATTGAAATTTAGAGAGAAATTCTCTTGCAATTGTTTTCCACTAAACAGATAGCTCAATTCTAAGTTAGTTTATATGTACATTACGTTTTTCTCTCCATATAATTTTCTTCTTTAGACTTAATATGTTTATAAATTTTAGTTCAAAACACAAATGTAATGGACACTGACTGGGCATTAGTTACGCGGCCCTCTAACTAGTAACTATAAAAAGTACCAGCAAATGGCATTAAATCTACCTAATACATAGTAGAGATGCACTGATAAATTTGAATGACAGGCAAATATAAACGTGGAGTTCTGCTCAACTTTATGTTCCTTTTGCGAGGAAAAAAAAAGCTTTATTGCATGTTCCTCCATTATTTTCTTCTGCGGCAATGTTTTCATTCACCAAAGCTTTATAATATTGTTCAGCCCAAATATCAATAGTTTAAATTGGCAGTAGTCATGTTTCCTGTATCGAAAGGTTTTTGAAAAAATTTAGTTTATGAAATTTATTTATTATTTATTATTTGCGTGTACCTTAAGGGTAATTTGGGAAAAGTCATAAGGGAGTTTCGTTTGGAAACATGTTATTTTATCATTTTTTTTGTTTTTTTAGCTAAAATATGAGGTAAAAAAAATTAGTTTTAGTTTGGAATGTGGGTTAATTTTTTGATTTTTTAAACTTTTGTAAGAGAAAAAATAAAATGATTATGGTTTGGATGTGATATTTTGTTTTATTAGTTTTTTAGCCTATTTGTCTTTTTGTGATTATTTTAGCCCATGCTTTTTATGCCAAACGAAACCTTGGAACAAATTTTTGATTTTTTACAGGAAAAAAAAATATGCAAAAAGTAGAGAGAAAATAAAATATTTGACTTTTTGGTATAGGTCATAGGGTTTTTGGCTTTTTTAGTAATTTTTTGACTGTTAAGCTAAAAATGTTGCATGCCAAACGAGACTAATTAAAATAAAGTAGGTGTTTGGCATGTACTAAAAAAATGTGCTTTTTTTGCATACATACACTTATTTGGGTTACATCAATCAACATTTATTAATATCTTCTCTCTATTTTTCTATACATTTTTTTTATTATAAAAAGTTAAAAAGTGTACTTATTTAAACATCCCAAATCAGCCCAAAATCCTAAATAATTGAATAAGATATATTGAGAAATTTTGAATACTTAATGATTTTTTAGGTATAAATAAAATGCCTGTAACTATTGTATTGGTCCAGAAAAAAAGAAAAAGAAAAAAAGGCGCACTTGAGTTAAAAAGATCTAAATTTGTTATAAGAGGCCCAATCTAAACAAAAAGAGCCCATAACTTGGAAACCTCAATTCATGTTTTAAATACATTTGAGGTTTAATTACAAATATAATAAAACCAATCACTTTGGTTGGTTCTTCTTTTTTAAAAATATTTTTTAGAAAATTTTACTTTCTTGTTTTTTTGTACTTTTTTATTTTTACTGAATTTTTTTAATATTTTAAGCAATTTGTTTTACTTTTTAGACATACCTAACATAAATATACCTAAAAAGTAAAAAATTTATGAAAAAACCTTTTAGAAATTCACTAAATACCAAAAATACAAAAATATTATGAGAATTTAGTACATTTTTTATATTTTTATGTATTTATTAATTTTTTAAATTATTTTTTCACAAATTTTTTAATTTTTAGATACATCTAAGTAAGGTACATCTAAAAAAATTAAAAAAAAATGTTTAAAATTTTAAAAATATTCACTAAAAACAAAAAAACACGAAAACTAAAAAACTCAATTTTCAAAAAATTTAATTCAAAAAACTCTGATGCTTTTAATTTATTGATTGGTTTCTGTAGGCAACAAGAATTGGAATTATTCATAATTTTATTTTATTTTTATTTTTATTTTTTATTTTTTTTTTAAAACTGATTGAGGAACTGCCATACTTCTTAGCTTTTTTTGTATTGATTTTTTTCTTCTGTTTTTTTATTTGATGAACTACAATGGAAAGTCTCAAATTTGTAGTATAAAAATTGGATTTGAAGTCGTAATGGAGATGAGTTCTTATTTTTGTTTGATTAATAATTTTTGATGATATCAAACATGTCACTGTTCCTAGAAAGTATAGTTTTGGGCGTAAAAAAAAATAAATAAATAGACGACTTAGTTTACTTTTTATTTGGTACTACAGCTTAATTTTTAATCGTTTTTGTTATTGTAAACTTTGTTATATATTTAAATAAATTGTAGTAGTCTTTTTATGAGTACTGTTAAATGCAAAAATGTAAAACAAAATTCGATACATAATCTTTTTATCATATTTTTTTTTCATTTAATATATATATATAAATTCTTATATTTATAATTCACTTTGAGCTCCAAAAAAGTTAGAATAGAATATTAACAAGACCCTTTGTTTATATAACTAGAACAAGTAGACATTATCTAATTCCTTTAGGTTGAAGAAAAATTTGAGTAATCTCATTATAGATCTACATCTTCTTCTGGGTAACAGATGAAAAATTAATCAATGTAATCAATGATCTTTGACCCTCTCTGTCTCATCTTTGGATTATGTCAATATTTTGTTAATTCTCTATGCCATGTTTTAATACCACAATATATGAACATGATGATGCCTGCAATATCATTTATATATATACTTCATGGTCATGACATTCTTTATTACTAGTTAATCTACACTCATCCAAAGATAGTAATATAATCTAAAGACATCACAATTAAACATATTTTCATTATAACAATTACTTTTTTTCTTTTTTTTCTAGATTATACTTGTACAAATATACATACACACTACATTCTAGACACACATAATATCTGTTCATATTAATACAATTGCTAAATAAAGATTGATGAAAATGGTTATTAATTATTGTAAAATAAGATTTTTTTTAATACTTAAATGTAGAATTTAAATTTTCAATATAGTGACGAGACTTTAAACATATATTTCATGACTAACTATTTGTATACCACCAAAACAAGAACAACAATGGAAATGTTTTTAGATAATTATATATTGTGCTTGTTTGACACAGTTTATTTTCAGCTTAAGTCAACTTATAGCATAAAATAAGTTATTTTTGTGTGTTTGGTGTAACTCAATGGTGTAGATTATAGCTTTTTATAAGTTGATATTCAACTTTTTCTTTGGGTGGGGGAGAAGCTGCTTTTCCATTTAGCTTAAACGGGAAGTTGAAAATTGAGGGAAAAAATTACTTAAATACCCCTCGTCAATTTCAACTATTACAAAAAACCCAAGTATATAAACTCTCTTTCTCAAAACACCATTCATTTTCTCATTGGAGAGAGAGAGAGACTCTCTTCACGATCTCTCTTTTCTCTCTCTCTCACGATCTGCTCCGTCATAACTGTCACGATTCAAACCCACTCCTATAGATTTTAGTATCGTAACCGGCCAGTAATCCTTAGATTACCAAAGGTCTCTTAACAAAATGACATATAATAAGGGGGCTGCGGAAGCAATTATAGAAACATACATTGTCCATAGAGCTGTGATAACAATATGAGACATAAATTTTCAAATATATATATATATGTGTGTGTGTGTGTGTGTGTGTGTGTGATAACACAATAGTCTTACGCCACCCACATACACAGATGTAACCAAAAAGGGAAACTTGTCCCTATCTATAGATAAGCAAAACAAACAACGAAAACATTCTTATCAGGTATGCAAAACTTGACTTCTTCAAAAGGAACCTCCCCGGGAGGCACAGTAGTTGGTTGACTTAAACACTCAAGGCAGCAGCTTAAGCCTAGTCACAGGCTTGCTCACCTACATACATAAAATAAATAGAGAGCGCGAGCCCAGTTAATAATAACAGAGTAAATGGTTTAAATGAACGATGTCCACATCAGGTTCATAAATCAGATATAGATTTACAATCATGTTCTTGTTCACACTTCATACAGAAATTAGAGTTCATGCTTAATCATACATGGT